ACACCACGCAGATCCCTGGTTAAATGATGTAAATGATGAGCCTGTAGCCTGCGCTCCTCCAAGCCAGTAAATTCTGTAATATCTCTGCACCAACCCTTAACCTCCTCTCTGCAGCACCCGGGATACCTGAAAATTCAACACTTCTAACACCGATTAGGGAAGCTTCCGTGCTCACCAGGCTCTGCTGTGTACATAAAGAGGCACTTTAATCCTTTTCGCCAGGCAGCTTTCCTTAGATGCTTTGGCACAGATGGTTGATATTTTCATGCTGCAGTGGTTATTAGATCGTAATGTTACCAGGGATGACTTTGTGTCAGTTGTGCAGCCATGGGCCCCTGCAGCTTCATGCTCCATGAATCAAGTTCGAGGTACTAATGTGAGCCCAGGCTGCTGGGGAGGCTGCTCATTTGCAACACTGCTGCTTTGTGCATTCATATATTGTGTTGCTATAGATGGTGATGCCCCACTTGTGATCTTCCTGCCAGCTTGCTGTCAGATGTTCTCCTTCCTCACTTCCTTCAAGAATCACCTCCAATGGATTATGTGCTTCTCTCTTCAGGTGCTGTCCCAGAGAGTCATTCACCCTTGCAATCTGTCCAATTTACTTAAAATAAATACATCTCGTTTTTTCTCCTTTTCTTCCTTATTTTTTTTCCCCCCTCCCCAGGTCTAAAGCTGTTTCCTCCTTCCTCCTTTAAAGACAGCAGGGTTTGGGAGCAATCGAGAGCCAGGTCTAGATCCTTAAGCTCCAGCCGTGCCTCTGTAGAGAGGCCAGCGCAGGACCTCCAAGTCTGGATCCTTACGTTATCCCTCTTGTTATGTTAGCAGTGGTGAAACGCTGCAGGGACGGCGGCTGAAATTCAAGCGCTATTTAAAAGGGATATGTAGGGGATAGTTCACACAGTGCGAGTTCAGACAAGGAAAAGCGGAACAGCCGGGCGGCTCAATGCAAACCAGATTTTAAAAACAAAAACAAAACCCCAAGCCCTTCCTTAAGGAAGCCCTCGCTGAATTCCTGCCCCTCTGGAGAAGCCCAACATCACGCCTTGCACTAAGCCTCTGCGTTTCACTCCGAGGAAGGGCTTCAAATAAATAAGTAAAAAGCAGCGTGTTATGGAACACAGTCTGGATTCCTGCCAGGGCTGGGGGGAAAAGCAGTGCAGAAACCCTCTGGTTTTGCAGCAAACTTCCCTCCTGCTCAGTGGCAGCACATGCTTTCCCAAAGCCCTAGCCATTTAGGCCCATATCACTGCAGAGCCTCAGCCTCCCTAAGGCAAATCAGTCAATTGGTTCAACAGTGTATTTAAAACCCCTCGGAGCCTACCTTTAAATCACCTTTATATTTCTCTTTCCAAAGCTAATAGTTTCTACCTGCATTTTGCTTCATCTCTGTAGAAAAACAAGCTATTTAGTCACATTAATAATCCGCAGCAATCTGGTTGTCATTTCCCTGATGGAAAATTTCACACTGCTGCCCAGCAGCAGCGACACGGTGAGTGTTAGATGCACCTAAAGCTGCTCAGATTTCCTCCTGCTAAACCCAGCCGTAGGGAGAAAAGCAAGATTCACAGCCTTCTTCAAGGAGAAGAGACGAGTTAGACACATTCAGAGGTAGCCACCCTTCACATGAAGACAAGAGCCACGTTTCAGCAAGCAAGGCAGCGAGTGCTTTGAGAGGTCACGGCAGAAGGAGCTTAGAGAAACCCCAGGTCCCAAGCTCCATCCCATGGCAGAATATTTGCTGGGAGGGACCTCCCCGTGGAGCGAGTTCTGCAGAGAGGTCTGGAGCAAGAGGTCCCAGGGCAAGAAGGTGAGATGCCTCTTGCTGTATCTAGTCAGCACCCAAAGGGATGGGTCCTCAGCGTGGCAAGAGATACTTGTGGGCGAACCCAAATGAGGCAGGTGGGTGATGGTTTAAATGCACTTCATTTCAGTCCGCCTTCACGTCACCACTCTCTTCTGAAATATCCCAGACCTTCTCTGATAAGTAGGTCTGTTCAGCAACTGATTGTGAAGGCGTTTGAGTCTTCTAGGCATGTTCCATGCAGAAAGGCAGGTCTCTCCAGGGTGCCTGGCCCAAGGCAAGGTGCAAAGCCTGCAGAGGAGCACGCTTCCATGGGGCTACGAGAGGGAACTTGGTGGCCTAGCCCAAGTTTTGAAGTCCAGGATGATCTGCAGGTCTCAGAGCTGATTGATTCCCTCCCAAAACCACCAAGGAACCATGGTGGACACAACCCTCCTCTTCCTCCTGCTATACCAAGCACCAGACATCCTCCCTCATCCACACCAGCTGATAATATATATCAGCTCTCCCTATACTGCAAGATGCTTTTGAAAGACCACTGGAAAATACATCCTGAAGTTATTTATACCAGTAAGGCTTGGTGTGTCCAGGGCAAGCTGGTGTGAAAGGCCCCAGAGGTAAAAAACATCCATTAAATAAGTAGAGAAATCAACACAGAAATGCAGAGTCAAGCACACAGCAAACTCCCTCATTTCTCCCCAAACCATGAGCCAAGGAAGACAAATGTGGTGAGCTTGAGCACTTGCACTTTCAGGAAAGGCTCTCCTAAAAGCAAAATCACATGTTCCAGTGTTTATAATCTCTGCAGAAAGGCCCCATCCAGCATTTCTCCACTCTAATTCCTGCTCTCATAACTGTCAGATTAGGAAACCGCAGACTAGAAGCCTCTCGAGTTGACAGAAAAACACTTCTCTGCTCCCTGCCGCCACTTTAAGCAGACGAACTAATAAAAACAAGCTCTGCTATTCACTCCAAATGCCTGCAAGAAAGGAATCTGGTGCAGTAGTAGTTTCAAAACAGCATCAAGGAAAGCAGCCACCCACAGTGCCTGGAATCCCCCCACACTTATCAGCTCCCTTCACCTTGCTCCCCAAAAACGCCACGGCAATCTGCCTCTTCCTGGAATATCTACCTGCTCGCTGGGATATCACCACTGGACAAGGCAGAGGCCAGGAGCCTCCTGCCATGTTTCCTCCAGGAAAAGGCAGGAAAGACATTTTGTCTTCAAGGTGTTTTTACTTAAAACCTTGATGACAGCAGTGCCTGGTGGTGAGAAGGCTGAGGACCCAGTGCCCTGGATGAATGTGACACCTTGGCTTAAAAATAGGTAGGGTCTGTGATGGCCTCACACTGCTGCAGCCTGGAGGCACCTGCCATCCCCATGCTGCTTGCAGTGCTGGGTGAGGACCGACCTTGTGCAAGCTTGGTGTGCATGGAGCTGCCAAGGAGACCTGCTCAAGGTGTCTTTTCTTGGGAACCCACCGCCAGTTTGGCAGTTGGCCATCAATGGGAGGGCAAAGTTGGCTGCACGTTGTGTCCTGTAGTCTGGGCACAGAGCTTGCACAGGCAGGTCCTCCAGGGGCTTCTCACCATGGGCACTAACCCTTGGAGAAACACAGTGAAACCCAGCAGCAATAACACGGCTCCAGATGTGGCACATCGGCTCCCACCTTTCATCTAGCCAAGGGAGGAACAGAAACGTTGATCCGTGTCTGCCACCCACCTCCCAAGAGATGATCTCCCTGATCTCATTAAACAAACAAGGAAGCACTAAAGCTTCCTCCCGCACACGGGCGAGCGTTTCCCTGAAAGGTCACCATGTGAAGGTGAAACGGCACCGACAGATGGTACCTGCAGGGCCTCAGCACGCACCTCTGCCCAGCGTGTCCTGGCCACAAGGGTCAGCCAGGCAGGCCACATTAGGACGTCACGGGGATGTGCTGGTCTGATGGGACACGTTTAGCCCAGCAAAGAGGTTGGAGTCTCCCAAGCATTTAGGCATCAATGCATTAATGCCATGGAGGGCACACAGGGATTTGGAGTCATTCTGTGTGGGTCTGCTTGAAGCTGCCCTGCACCAACAGGAGCTGCCTGCAGCAGAGCAAACACCACTGTCTGCAATGGGGAATGACCATGCAACCCCAAAAAAAGCCAGAAAGAGCAAAAAGTAAACAGCAGCGACAAAGACGACAGGAGAGTTCCCAGAAAGTGCTGGTGGTAGGACAGCAACCAGGAGGACGAAGAGCCACCATGTGCAGGAGCATCCCAAGCAGGGACCAGATCCCCTCCTAGAGCCTCCCCGTGACCTCGAGCTGCCCAAGAGGGATGTGCAAGACTCGTGTCCAGGCAAACGGCCTCTTCTCCCCAAATCTGACCGAAGCGCGTGCCAGCAGGAAGCACCCGGTCCTGCCCGCACGCTCCTCTTTACAAGCAAAGCTCCTGCAGTCCTTTAGGAGCCACTTCGAGAGGAATGCTCCCAACTATATCTGTAACTTATATATGGCTATATATAAGGGAAAGATCTGCCAGGTGACAATGGCATGAGAGCCTGGAGTGGAGCAGCCTCGTGCCAGCAAGGACTCGGATCCTTGGACTGGATGGTGCAGCAGAGGACTGGCCTGCGATGAGCCTGTTTTGGATTCTGCAGCGCTCGCTGGGGAGGCAGCAGCATTTGTTACGTCCTCTCCAGGACTGGAAATTCAATAGACTCTGATGGCTGCAGCTGCGCTGACCCCGGCGTGCGCTGCCACGAGCAGCGCTCCTGGGCTGCTGGGGTTGAAACAAAACCTGAGGCAAAACACCAGCTCCTCTGGGCAAACCACGGGCTCCTCTTGTTGGCCTCCTCAGCAGGAGGACCAAAAGGATGTGGTGCCTTCTGCATGTCTCACAGAGGAGAGCATCCTTGGTAGGGCCGGGACATGGGGACACCATGAGGCTGAGCATCTATTTACAAGCTAGAAAGGGGCTTACAGGAGAAAAGAGAGGTTTCCTGCTCCTGCATGTGGCGTAGAAGACCCTTTGCCACTGGTGTCTTCCTTCGATGCCCAGTAGCTCTCACCTCCAACACAGCAAAGCCAAAGGCACCAGGGCTGCCCGGTCAATCCAAGGCTCTGGCACCAAGACAGGCCACATTCCTGAGGCAAAACCACCACCAAGGGCCAAGCTATAGCATCACCGTGCCACGCAGATGCCTTACCTGCTCATGGTACTCAATGCCCATGCTGAGCGTGTTGATGAGGATGGCCACCATGATGCCACGGCCGAAGTATTTGCTGTCCACAATCTTCCGGAAGGTCTCGCACACCACGTGCCAGAAGGCCAGGACCCGGTTCACTTTCTTCACCCGGGCTTTTCCCCGCTGAGGGTCTCTCTGGTCACTGTAGTGGGCGTCCTGTGTGAACTCGTACACGCCGTCGCTGTCCGAGTCGCCCGTCTCGTTGTCCGTGAGCTCCGCGTCGTTGGCCAGCGTCTTGAGGCAGTAGGGGCAGCCGTCGGCACTGCCGGAGCTGCTGTCCAGCTTGGCACAGGGGCTGGAGAGCTTGCATGTACCTGCAACGCCAGCAAGGCACATTCAGGGGAGCCTGAGAAGCTCAGGAGGCAACGGGAGGAACCTTCCAGCCCTTTACGCTCCAAATTGCCCTGGACCTGCCAGATAATTCCTAAGGGGACATGGCTCTGGGCTGAGTGATGCAGCAGCAGCTCTGATGCCCTCAGGAGGGCTCTCATGCAGAGTATGGAGATGGTCTGGCCAGAGGACGTCCCACCAGCAGGGCCAGCACATTAAGGGACACCAGCTCCCCTGGCTAACAATAAAAGTTTGATATTCTCTTAAAAACATTGGCTGCAAGAGGTGGAAGAAGCTATTTACCAAGCACATTCCTGACCCTTCCACAGCAGCAAACATCAGGTTGAGTAAAAACCCAGCACAAAACCATCTCCAAGCCCAGCTCTGTTTAGTTATCTTCCAGTGAGGTTTTGGAAGGGCTGGAGAACTTCAGCTCTTCCCCACAGAGGTCTTGGCTGGAAAGGTTAGAGCCTGCGGTGAGAGAGGCCACTGGGACGGGGGGGACATAACAGCGGAAAGCTTGGCCCAGAAATGCCTCTTGGAGGCTGAGAGAGCTTGAACTAATCCAGGCCGAGCTTCCAAACCTCAGGATGTGGAGGGGAAAAGAGTGTCTTGCGGTGAAGGTATGAAACCCCCAACTTAGGAAAGCTGCATTTGGTTTCTGGCTCTGTTAAAGACTTCCTGAGCAAATCGCTTAGGGTTGATTTTTAATAGTCAGCATCTGTGATTGCCATTGAGAACTTCTGAAAAGCAGACATTTGATCTCTCTGAGCCTCGGGTCCCTCGGAGAGTGGAGCTAAACAGTACTCAAGGGTGTACTGAGAGACCTGGGTCATTTGGATCTGGAAGGTGTCCACGTTTTAGCTCAGCAGCGAGCAGCACAGCTATTGCAAGCCCCCATGTTTTATCTAGGAAAAGACCTGGCCGTTTTGAACGGACTCTGCTTGGCTCCAGGGCTAGTTTGCATCCCTGAGCCCATCCCAGCCTATTTTGCAAGTGCAATGATTTTGGGAGTGCTCCTTGTAATTGCAGAATAAACTGAGGGTGAAGGCAGGGAAGGGAAGAAAGGAAACCCAGCTCATTAGGAACACCAATCTCCCTTGGATTTTTGCGAGCGTGAAGCCTGGGAGGCTGAAAATTCCCCTTATTTTAGCTGTTAGATGCATTTGGTGGGTTAGAAGATCTCTGTTGGCCTTACCTGGAAAGCCATCGCCTTTCTCTGTCACGTGAACTGAGAGGAACCCTGGAAAGATTCAGTGGAAAAAAGAGAAATGAGGATCTCTCGAACACTGGTGGAGGCTGATTCCCAGCCCCAGCACTCACCCGTGCTCTGCGTCTCCAGCAGCTTGTGCATGGTGCTGTAGGGCCCAGGGGGTATGTTAAGGTTGGTTAGGTTGCTGGCCCCAGCACCGACTACAGCCTCTCCCAAGCTCTTCTCCCTCAGCATCTCATGGGAGGTACTCGGGTGCACGGTGGGGTAGACCTTGCTGCCCACCACGTTCTTGGGCATCTCTTCTGGGCTGGGCGAGCTGAGGCCCGCCGGGGCGAGGGACGCCCTGCAGCGGAGCGGCTCGAAGTGGCAGTCGGCGTGGTAGATGCTGTGCACGGACTCCGCGTTGACCGTGGCCGCGCCGGGGCTCGCCGCCGATGGCGGCGGCATGAGCCGGTTGGCGCCGCCGTGAAGCGAGCCGGCGTCCACGTCGCTGATCTCCGGGCTGGCCCGCGGCGCCCGCAGGTTGCCGTTGCCCACGTGGTAGTGATGGTGGTGGTGGTGGTGATGGTGGATGAGGTGGTGCACGGAGGACCTCTTCCTGCGCCGCTGCTTCCCGGCCTGCCGCTCGGCCGCCGCTTTGCTCGCGGGGCTGGCGAGGAAGCCCATGCGCACGCCGGCCACGCGGTACAGCTCCACCAGCTGCTTGCTGCCTTTGCGGGCCACGTACACCAGGTACTTGAGGAGCTCGTCGTAGCAGCTGCCCGGCTCCGAAAAGCTGGCGAGGGTGCTGGCGTTGGACAGGTAGCGCACCCGCTGCTCCTTCATCAGCTGGCTCTCGCGCTGCTTCGTCTCAGAGAACTGCGTGGCTATAACCACCAGGCAGAGGTTGATCATGAAGAAGGAGCCCACCTAAGGGAGCAGATGTGTCAACCATCCAGCTGCTGGGTATTCCCACAGCCCCATCCCGGCTCCAGGGTATTTCCATCCCACAGCCCCATCCCAGCTCCAAGGTATTCTTTCCCCACAGACCCATCCCTGCTCCAGGGTATTCCCATCTCACAGCCCCATCTCAGCTCCAGGGCACTCCCATCCCACAGCTCCATCCTGACTCCAGGGTATTCCCATCTCACAGCCCCATCTCAGCTCCAGGGTATTCCCTTCCCACAGCCCCATGCCTGCTCCAAGGTATTCCCATCCCACAGCTCTAAGCCCAGCAGAGCGCCCTGGGCTTAGCCTGCCAGACAGCCGGAGCTGGCAGAATTTGCAGACAGGAGGTTGTAAGAGCAGAGAGGAGGAAGGACGAGACTCCGCAATCCCAGGCAGCACAAAGGTGCCACAGGGAAGGGGAGAGCAGGTGCCTGGGTTTGACAAAGCCAGAAGCAGTGAAGGAAAAAGTCACCCTTGGGCACTAACCCAGGGAAGGGTGGGAAAGAGGGAAAAATACTCAAGCTGGAGACAAGGATGCGAACGGCAGAGAGGGGAGCCGAGCCACGGAGCAGCCGGCGCTGCCCTGGATTCGGCCACCTCGAGCCCCCTCACCAGGCTCTCCCACGCCCAGGCGCTGCCGAGAGATTATTTTGAGAGGAGATTATTTTGACAAAAGGCTTTTGCTCTTTTAAGAGCTTGTTTTTCTGTCTCTGCAGACAGCAGTTGTAATTATCACAATTAGTGGCATTACGATGAACGCACTGAGCTTTACTGATAGGAGTGGGTTTTTTTTTTTCCTGGCAGTGTGTGGGTAGCTGGTGAGCGGATCCCTTTCCTCTGCTAACAGGATTTGCGGGTTACTGTTATGCAAGGGCATCAGCAGTCTGTATCCACAGCTTTGGGGGGTTGTTTCAACCCAGGGAAGTTCCGTTTCCTGCGGATCCCAGCTTGGATCACAAGGAATAACTAATTTTCCCAGCCTCTGCTAACAGACTATCACACACCACTAATGGTGCTCATGCAGCATCCAAGGAAGCACCGTTTCCCTTCCTCTCTATTGCTCCAGAGAGGCAGAGAATAAGTGACTACTGCCTTTTGCTTTGTTTTTTTGGTTTTTTTTTCCACCCAGAATAGATGAACCAGAAAAAGCAGCATGGGCTAAACAGATTCCTACCTTCTCCTCAGGGTTCAAGTCCTGGTTTGACGAGGGTCAGAAATCCCTGAAATGGTCTAATGGAAGCTGTGCAGCTATTTTGCTGGACTTAGTCCAATTAGACAGGAAGAATGGGACTCATCTCACTTATATCAGCTACATCTGAGTGAGGCACCTAATGATCCTTTAGAGTCAAGAGAGAAATAGGCACATCAAGTCTGCAATGCATCTAATTTATTTTAGATATCTACCTCAAGATGAGATGAATCACCCTTTAAAGCACCTATTTTTCTGCCTTGACGATAAAGGGAGTCTAGACGACGACAAGCTGGTTGCTGTAGCCCTTTCTGCTTGCAAAGACCAACCCCATCATGAGGTCCCTGCACAGAAGCGCTTTGCTGGCTCCCTCGTGGGTGGGCTCAGATGAGGCTGTGAAGTGTGGGTGGGCCGTGGGGACTGATCTGTTCCCTCCTGTCTTAATGTGCTGACAAGGGGGACTGTTTTCCTGGAATGGCCATTCTCCACCGAGGACTCCAGTCAGCCAGGCTACTGGATGGGGGGGCAATTTCAGCCTCCTCCCCATCCAGAGTTCAGAAGCTGATTGGAAAGATTGCCTATCTTTTAAGCGTAAATACAAGGAAGTGATTAAAGCAGGAGAACTTCCAGCAGAGACAGCCAATGGATCGTCTGTTCCTCACTCCACTCTGTGCTTTCCAATGCAGTAGGAGGAAACACCCATTCACAGGATGGGGCAACTCACAATGATGAGGAGGATGAAGTAGATGAAGTTGTAGAAGGAGTGTGCGTCCATGACGAAATACATGATGTCCACCCAGCCCTCCAGCGTGATGACCTGGCAGAGACAGGGAAGGGAACAGAACTCATCAAGGCTCGGGGTAACACCATGGGCACAGGCAACACTTCTCATAGCCAGGTCATACCTGACCTTGGCACCTCGTCTGAGGGCACTACAAGACACTAAGGAGCCAAATCCTTCTCCCATCAATGCCAAGAGCTGCACTGACAGCTGCCCGCAGTGCTGACTCCGTATCCAAGGCCCATCGCTGCGCTTTGCAGAGCGAGGAGCAAGCTCCAGGCTCTGCTCCACACCAGGATGCTCCTGCATAATCAAAGCATTCGGAGCCCGAGGCTTTGTCTGCGGATGCGAGAGAGGCATCTTCAAAGCACACATCAAATTGTCTTCCTGGCATTTCAAGTATGCCGACACTACCACACAGGTGCTGAATCATCTCTGGGAATGGGAGCATACATCCCTGTCACTGGGAACACACGCGTAGCCCCAGCTGGCTGTTTTCCTCCCCAGTGACAGGGGACCGCCTCCCCACAGGGCTCACCTGAAATATCGCAATCCAGGCATAGCCGATGTTATCAAAGTTGATGGCTCCTTTGAAGGGGTTGTGCTCCCCGGCAGAGCAGTTTGTGTAATACTGGTTCCAGTTGACACAGGACGTGTTGGTGGTGTCATTGTAGGAATAATAATCCAGCGTGCACTCGAGGCCTTCTTCCCTGCGCGTGGGGATGCTTCGGCAGTAGCGCATCCCATTCTCGCGGGGCTGGGAGCAGATGAAGGGGTTCTCATCTTCATTCTCCGTCTGGTAGTAGCGCTCCAAGTCCACCGTGTAAGGGCTGGAAAAGTGCACACAGAGCTTGGGTTTGCACACCGATTACGGGCAATCAGCCGTGGTAACAACTGTGACAGCAAGAAGTCTGACGACTTTTATCATGGATGCTAATGCTCTCTTAAGAAATTAACCACGGTTGATTTTTGACCGTGTCAAAGCCCTGCGATGTCCAATGTCGTGGTTCTGGAGCAACCGCTCTGACCTTACCAAGAGCCTCTCTGCTGAGGGCTGCTTCAGTTTTGACTTCAGGGGACTAAGAGCAGCATTTTGCCCAGCAAGGACTGTGAAGTGTTTGCTGCAATAAGGTGGAAATCAGTCAACTTATGCTCATGTATTTTTTTGGATATCTAAGACTGGTTTGGGGAGACTCTGTGTACAAGGATCTCCCAGGCTTGTGAAACCAAAGTCAAGGCCTTCCCTCTGCATTTCACAGTGACTGTTCAGCACAGGATAAGCTATAAATTCCCTCTGAGGGCGGCCTGACAACAGCAACCCATGCAAAAATGCTTTTTGGGGAGATATAACAACCTGTGGCCAGCCAACAACTGGCTTCTTGCTCAGCAAACAGCTATCCCCTTAATGCTGCCAGGACTCCCACTAAAGCTTACAAAGATATTTTTAAGCCTAGTTCAGCCCAGTTAATTCCTGCAGAATTGCCTTTAATACCCTTCAAAGCTCATCTAAGCCCTTGGAATTCTGGTTCAATTAAAGAGCACCCAAACCTGTAGCTCTACTGGATTTCCTCAGTGGTGAATCAGTCCCTTTGCTCTGTTGCCCTGTTATTTAGAGGGGTCTTGCCCCATTAATGAGTCTCCCGCTCCTCTCTGAGGACACAGCCTCTGAGAGGGGTGGCAGTTGATTAGGAAATGAGTGGAAGAGGAGAAAAGCTTCATTGATCCATGCCCAAGAGCCATCCAGACGCAGCAACCTCTCCATGATCCTGACATGTATAAGACAGAGGCTTTGGGGTTGCAGAACTATCAGACCACAGCGTGGATCTAACAGGATCAACACTCAAGAGTCTGCATTGGGAAGTGATCTGTTAAGAGGTGAAAGAGTTTTGAGGACTGACTTTATTTTCCCTCTGTTGGGACAATCACCCCTAATAACAACCAAGAAGCCTGGCAAGTTGGTGTTGTCCTTATGGCTTTTCCAGTCATAAGGACGTTCCTGCTCTATATATGAATAACACTAGATAACAGCGCACCAGTCTTGGGTTGGACATCAACGCATGACAGAGTAGTGTGACCTCTGGTCCCTCCAACATGGGCAGGACATGGATGTGCCCAACCTGGAGACACTTGTGCTGCCCACCCTGCGCAAGGGACCCCGCTGCAGACTCACATGCTGAAGTTCTCGGGTAGGAAGCAGCGGTTCCTGAGCAAACCTGCCCACAGCTGGACTCCCACGATGCCAAAGATGAAGAAGACAAAGAAACAGAGGAGAAGGACATTGCCCAGCATGGGTAGCGTGTCCAAGAGAAGCGTCACCAGAATGCGCATACCTGGAGCAAAGACAAAGCAGACATTAATGAGAATCTTTCCTACTCCAGATATGTCCTTCTACCTCTTTCCTTTCCATGCCCACTCCATGCTTTTCCATCCTCTGACATTCAGATGCCCTCCCATCCACTGTCCCTTCTTCCACTCCCTGTCTCAGTTTCTCCCCTTCTCACAAAGTCTTCTCCAGTCTCCTCTCTCCAGCTGCTCCCATCTTCTCACACTGACCTCTGCCACTGCCCTTGCTCTATCAGATTCCTTTCCTCCTAATATATTAAAATGAAAATTCCCTTCCACTCCTAATTCCTCCCATCTACCCTAAATCCCCTTTCTGCCTTAAAACACAGGGCTTTCTCTGGCAGTTAATTCTCTCAAGTTCAGGAACAGACAGTTCTGTAACAAAGACAAATTGATGGTGACTTCAACTTGACATTTACACACACAGAAAAAAAAATTGATTTCATCTGACGTCTCTGTAATATTCTGCTCGCTTTCTCTCTCCTCCTTTCCCCATCTTCTGCATTCTCTTGCTTGATTACATTGATTTTAATTTAAATAAACCTTTCCTATTGCACCCTTTACTTTGATACTTCAAGATGACTGTTTTTCTCTGTTACCTGATGCTGTCACCTCCTCTATCAGTTTTTTTTTTTCTATTCCTCTGCTGGGGAATAACCACCATGCGTCAACTCCTAATTAACTGAAATGACTTTCTGTGGTTACTGCATTTATCATCATAAAGAACTTTTTTCCCCCTCCCTTCCACCTTACATTTCTCTCCCATTGTAGCTACGTTGCACAGGAGTCAAGATAAATTACCCGGGATTTGAAAATGCATTAAGTGAATTACATCCCCAGTTAGACAGTGGCAGATAAATTCAGCCATCCATCAGTTCAGCAGTGGAAAAAAAAATATTACAAACAGGATTCTGACGCTACCGTAACGATTGAAACAACAGCAGCAGCAGCACACCAGATTAAGTTTAACAGGCAGGATCAGAAAAATAAATAGAGCCCTGGCACCTCCAGCACTGACAGCCAGAATCGAGGCTGATTAGTTCTCATCAGGGCACCGGCTAGTTCAGGTAGGTGAGTGTTCAGCCTGCCATTTAACTGGGCTAATAGCAGTGCTGAATTCGATACCCAGGATTGCAGGGCCAGGCGCACGTTTCTAACGCAGTTGTACTTACACCTAACACACTCAGGCCTTACAGAGAGGGAGTTTATTGCCTGTCTCTCCCAGATCTTAGTGCTGCGCCCAGCACTGTGTCATGGGAATGGCTCCCTGGGAAGGTTGGGAGGGTTTGCAGTGGCACCGGCACCTCTCCGAGCCACGGGCTGAGCCGCAGCTGCCTGTCCAGATGTAGGATCAGGCCACGCCACTGGCCACCAAAGCTGGGTCTGATACCCTCAAGCATGACGGGCTAAGCTAGCAGTGGATGATCTCCTCCCATCCCATCCAGGTTTGTTTTGGAGGCGTTGGGTTGCTTGGACAACCAAGGTTGCTTTCTCCAGGACATCTTGGACCACTGCTACTTCAGCAGAGAGAACCAGGTCTCATTCTGCAGGAGAGGCTGGTGACACAGGACAGTGGGACTGAAGCGGCTCAGACTCCATGTCAGTGCTGCCTGGTGAAGGACGTCAACTCTGACATCTCTACCACCTGCTTCTCTTTGACTTAGTGGCCTCCTAAGACCTTATTAAGAGGATGGGGAAAAAAAAAACAGGAGTGCAACTACAGCACTAGATTTCTTTTTGATTAGTTGCTCATCTCTGATCCCAAAGGTGTCAGAGGGAATATTATTTAAAGTAGGAGAATGTCAGGCCCTAGAAACCAAAGAGCCAAAGTAGGACAACACAACCAGGGTCTGGGTCAACATCTGGGCTGCAATGCAACGTGGGAAGCATCTGCATTTTCTCTGCCCTTTATGGAGCACAGATATAAAAAGTGGTACCAAAAAGGAGGAATAAGGATCCAACTCACTGGGAACTCTGTTAATGGCTCTGAGTGGCCGAAGGACACGGACGGTGCGCACGGCTGAGAAGCTGACGTTCTGCAGGTCCAGGGAGTATTCCAGCATGCTGCGAAGATACAAACACGGAGGAATGTCAAGGATCTTCAGGAAAGAGATTCAGGTTAGATTATCAAACATTATAAATTAAACATCATATGCCAGTTGCCCACAGAGAGACTTTTTAACTGCATCTCTCCCATCAGGAAAGTTTGCCAGAGGAATTAATTAGGGGTTATTTGCATATCAGAATAAAGTCAATGAGAGAGAACATCGTACAACAGCTCCGATGCCTGCAGTCCCTACCACCTGCTTTGGTTTTACCACTCTTGTAGAGGGTTCAGGGCCGAAGCTTCCTGAAAATCACTGTGCAATCCAGCGAGAGAATTCCCAGACACAGCCTTGGTTTACCAGGAAGGCACTGAGAGCCCACAGAGCAGCCCCTCTCCTCCTGGAGCTGGAGAAGCACTGGGAGAACTGCAAACTGGCTCAGCTGCTCTACGTTTAATCAGCATCGAGCAGGAGATCACTTGCAGGTGGGCATTACGTGGACCAGCAGGCACATGAATCACTACAGGTGACACCTGTAGACATCTGGGGCAAATGTGAACCAAGGAACCTCCATCTCTCCCTACTTGTGATAGGGAGCTCAAGCACAGCAGGACCAACCATCACAGCCCTGCCAGGACTTCACCCAGCTCTGCGCACAGGTACTTCTGAAGAGGCTGAGGCAGGCACATGCAGCAAGCAGGACTGTGAGGCTCTCCACACAGCTGCCACGAGCAACCACAGGACACGAATCTCTTCCAAAAATCACCAAGTTCCATCCTAAAGCTCCTAGGGTGATTCCTCTCCCTCCAACTTCCATGGTTAGAAACCTAATTTCCAGGCTAAATTTATTCAGGGCAAGCTTATATCCATTTATTCTTGTGCCAACATTGTCTTTTAAGAAGCTTATCGGGCTCTTTTTTGTCCCTGGTGTTCACCTACTGTACTTTTGCAGAGGACAAACCACAACCCCTCTCCTCCTTGCTTCTGTGCAGTTAAACCAACCTCGAAGCTCTTCCAGCCTCCTCTTGCAAGACAGGTTCACTGCTTCCCCAGTCATCTCCAGCCCTTTCTCCACCCGCTCCGCTGCCAATTAATTACCATCACCCTGTCAATTAATCACCATCACCCTTGAATAGACATTGAGCTTCCAGAGGAGGCTCTACCAGCGCCTTGTACCACTGCGTTAACACCTCGGCCTCTGTCCTGCTGCAAGTCTCGCTGGATTTGTCCGGGTCATGTCAGCTTTTCTTCATGATTGCACCACGCTGGTGACTTCTGCTCACCCAGTGATCAGCCAGACAGTCCCTTTCCTCTCTGCCAGTCCCTGTGGAGGACGTTCATCTGGAGAAGCCTCTCTGTTTAGTAGTCGTTATTTTCTAGAGATACTCTTGACTTCAAAAGGACAGTTTCAAAATGCATTTTAATTCAACAAAAAGATGATTAAAATGCCAAGATATATGTTTTTTTAAAGGTAGTACACTACTCTGAGCAAACTGCAGCATGGAGACCAAGCCCTCGCAGGCCTCTCCTGTGGGACACGGCCGAGGGCGCTGCCGTGACCGCACTGAGCAGCTCAGCTGCAGCCCTCGATACAACATCCAGACAGCGCCCGGGGACCTGGCTGCTCAAGCAACCTGCAAGAGCCTTGAGACAAGTACTCAGCAAAATAAAAATGTGGGTGAAAAAAAACAGGCGCTAAAGAACAGCTCCAATGAGAATCCCAACAACTCTCTGCCCAGAGGTCATTCACCACGGCAAAGGGATGCTCCAGCCCACGTTCCATGGCAAGGGAAGACACCCAGAGACAACTAGTGTCAGGATGTCACGAACTGGCGACGTGACAGGTGCATTTACCAGCACACCTAAGATTTACGCCTTGGAAATCTGCAGTGTAAAAAACTCACTCTGAAGCTTCAACTCGGATGTCATTTCTATTCAGCTGCAGGAGGAAGATGCCTGTCAAAGCCCCCGCCACGGACTCGAGCGCACAGAGAAGCTAAAGGTTTAGGAAAAGGCCAGGCACCAAGCAGAAGGGCTTCACAGCAAGTGCTGAAACTCGTCAAAGCCATCAGCAACTCCTGCTCACAGGAGCTGTTCAGCAAGGAAGCGTTTAGGGCTTCCAAGGGATAGGATCTGCAAAGCCAGGGGTACGACGCGCTGTTGGTGGGACACCTAGAAAGGTTTGGGATGGATGGGGCAGACAAAAAAAACGCCATTCAGGTTCTGCCTGGAGATAGGCATGTATCATGGGGGTTCTTTCACATAGCAGCCAAGCTGCTTGGATCTTGGAATCCAAGGAAGGATCTTGTAAGCATGTTGTCCAACGGCAGAACAGCCCTCCAGCAAAATCCTTTCAAAAGCCTTGAGTGAGAAGCAGGAGTTCCAGACGGACCTTTCTGGCCCCATCGGCCTCTAGACAAGCTACGGAAATGACAGCAATCCTGCTCTCCACAACTGCAGGGATCTCCCTTGCAACCCAGCCTGCCCCTGGTGCTGGCTCCACTCCCATTCCCCAGGTCACCACTGCTCCAAGAGCAGCCACCTCATGCAGGCGGCTTCCAAAGAGCCCAAATAAAACCGGGAAGCACCCAACCAAGTCAGACACCACCTTGTAAAATATTAAAAATGTGCATAGAGGAAAAAAAAAACCCACACATCAGAGCCCCGGAGCTTGTGCTGACTGCAGTTTCCGAGGAAAAAGCTTCGTGCATATGCATTACCCGCTGCAGGGAAGAGATGAAAAGCGGTGGCGGGGAGAGCCACGTGCGCCAAATTATTAACCCAGCGCTTCCCCGAGGAGGCGAGCGCTGGAGCCGGGCTCCAAGCGGGGCTCCGTGCCCAGCCAGCCCATCCAAACCAAGCGGATTTGGCTGCAGCCACTAACGAATCCGCAGCGAAGCGGTAACATCAGGCCGGACCCCCCGGACACGCGGGCGGCGTCGCGGGGAGCACAGGGCTCCTCTGCGGGCAGCGATAGAGAACCCCCGCTCGCTGCAAGGAACAGATAGACGCAGATTTATTCAACGTTGGAAGGGTTTCCAAAAGCGGGCATGGAGACGCCCTTTATCTACAAAGCGCAGCAATCGGGGATGATATTAGGCCGCCAGCGCTGGGAAAGACAAAGGGGAAATCACCGAGACGGGGTCCTCTCTTCAGAGCGTCGCAATGACGTTTCCACCCAGCCCTCACAGTCTTTGCTGTGCTGCCTTTGCAGCCTCACAGGTCCCACCACCTTTGGGGGCGTTGCTTAATTTAAAAAAAAAAAAATACTCTTTCTAGTCAAGCTGAATGGAATAAAAATAATAGTAGTGCTGGCGATAGAGCTCTGACTCGAGGGTGCTCCTGGCTGGGGCTGTTCCATCTCAAGGGATGCAGGAACGTGGGCACAAAGCAGGGAGCCACAAGCAGCTCTGGGGCCTCTGCTGTTCCCAGGACATGGATTTTTTTGATCTTTACCTTTCCAAAGGGATTCAGGTGAGACACTGGCCCCAGCTGCAGAGCTGCAGCTTCTCATGGGCATAAATCTGGAGCTGGCTCCAAGAGCCCTTTCTCTCCCATGGTCTCTATGACCATGTCAAGCCTTCCTACAGCATCCTCCATCCCTGGAATTCAGCACTCCAGGCAGCAGCAGGAGGGAGCCAGGCTTCCTTATGGGCTGTTTAGGACAACTTCAGCGGAGCTAACTCTTAATACAGTCATCAACACACAGCAAACATGAGAAGAAACCTCCAGGAGGCAAAGAGAAAAAGAAAATCAGATGTGCTTCTGAAGCGAACTGATTGCCAACCACCTCCAGCTCCTCTTGAAGCAGAAACAAAGCACTGCAGTGCTGTTTAGCTTTTGCATGAGGTCTTGACGGGGCTCGTTACTGTCGTGACGAGCAAAGCACAAACAGGGCTTCAAATAGGTGGCCTGAGAAGGGCTGAGCCCAGGCTTGCAGCCCATGTAATTTTCCCCCATTTAAGTCCATAACCCCCAGTCAAAGCCCTGTTTCAGCGAGCGGAGTTTTGATAGCACAGCGCTATTCTCATCTCCAGCAAGTTTCACTGTAATTACAGAGATGTGTTGCAGACATTACACTCTCTACAATTAGCGCTAATTGCATTACATTGTCACAAAGAAATCATTTACTCTTCGCGAGCTCACGAGATGGGGCCAGGCACGTAGAGAGAGCCAAGAAGCCCTTAGCATCTTTCCCATGCAGGGAAGGATCCTTCCCATCCACCACCGCTGGGATGCTCATCCCAGGAACACATCTCAAGTGGGAGCCACGGAGCTGTCTCACTGCTCCAACACTTTGACTCTGCATGCTTGGAATTTGACCCCAAAGTGCTTTTCTTCATCCTATACTTAATCTACTCCTTAATCGTATCTTGCTTTGGGTGACAGAGAGGCTTTGCTCCAGTCTCTGCAGCACCTTTGTGTTTCCTTAAGCACCAGCACCACGGAGGAGAAGGGCAGGACCTTGGGTGGAAGCGGCTGCTGCTGGAAGAGATGGGCTGATTCCAGAGGGGAGCAGGAAGGAGAGCGCCCGGATAACGGTGGTAGGGAAGCCCAGCGCACCAGGGAAGGCCGCGTCCTGCTTGGGGTTTAAAGCTGCTTCCATCTTTTGTCAGCTCAACCACTTTTGACAGGATCCAAATGGGAGCCGCTCGTGCACGCACAGAACAGAGCGATCATTGAGCACGAGGCGGAGCAGCCCCAGCACGGGCTGCAAAACCTCCAGCACGCACTGAAAATCCTGCGCAGGTGCCCGGGTGGGAGGCCACGCAGGTGCTCAAGCAAAGCCCCGTTACACTTCAGCACCAGGAATTAGCACGGGAGCAGGAGGGACAGCTGCACTACAGGGACATCACTCTGCCCCTTGCCTTGGCTCTTCCAGGCCCTGATCCTTGGGGATGGTCCTGCTCCAGCGGCGCAGAGCAAGGCGAGCTCGGCTGGCTGCTGTGGGACCAGTGACAGCCAGAGCGAGCCCTGACCTTGCGATGCTGCCACCAAGCCAGGGCAGGCAGTGCAAATAAGAAGACGCTTCGGAGAGAAGCTGTGTGTGTGCAAAGGCAAAGGGACATTTTGCGCCTCACCTTTACTTTTCCCAGCAAACAGCTCCTGACGTGACAAAGCAAAGAGGCAGGAGGGGTGCGGGCAGCTCTGTCTGCCCCTCGCGGGCTCCTCGTGCCCTTTGCAGCAGCGAGCGGCGGCAGAGCCCAGCGCAGGGCAGCACAGACCCCATTTGCTCCTGTGGAAGCCTAACCACGATGGAAACCTAAACCCAGGGCTCCACTGCAACCCCCTTACTTCCTTACGGGAAGCATCAAGGTGCTCCCGTATTCCTGCAAGCAGCTCCCCACCGATGCACCCACGAGCAGCTCTGGGCACAGGCTACAAACCCCCCTGGCCAGGGGATGTTCGGGCAGCCCAGCCCCACGCTGGGCTGGAGCAGAGCGGACCCGGTGGCCCGGCCCAGCCAACATCCTGCCGGTAACGAGGGCCAGATGCTCCGAGGGGAGACGTAATCCCGCTCCGAGCGGCATGTTCTGCGCCCGCCGCGGGACGCTGGTTCGCACCGATTCTCCCAGCTCCCGCCCTTCTGCTCCCGTCCCTGCCTCCAACCTCTCTTTTAAACCTCATGAAAGGCTGGAGCCTCCACAGCAGCCCCTAGCCACGAGTTCCTCCATCCCACAACGGGCCGCTGCCTCTCTCGGCAGACCCTGAGCATCCCACTGCCCCCCGCGCCTGGAAAACAGCCCGGCTGGGAGGGCTCCCTGGCCCGTTCCAGGAAAAATCCAGATCATCTGATTTCTGTATCAAAACTGGGGAAAACACGCCGTTTTCCCAAAGGTCCCCAGGCTCCCGGAGCAGGGAGGGGAGCGAAAGCCGGCGAGCGCTCAGCGCGTCCAAGCGACTCGGCTCGCTGGCCATGGGCCAGGAACTTTTCATGTGGATTCCCAGCCCCAGCCAGGAGGATCTCGGGTGCTAGAGGAGCCGCTAACTCAAACCAGGTGACTTGTAGAGGAAAGTGCTCGGAAAGGCAGACTTGGTCGCTCGCCCTCAAAGAAAACAAAGCGGGCAAAGCACGCACGTCGCGCTGAAATATTCCTGCTGGAACCCGGCTGCTCGCTCCAAACGATCTGCCGAAACCTCATCCCGCAGGCAGGGCTGCAGGAAACCCGAAACGCGGTGCCGCAGGAGCCAGCATGGCTCAGGCCACCCCGGCCGTCCCCGCACGCTCTGTTGGGATGGGGACACCGACGGGGGACACAGTGCTCCAACGCCTGTGATTCTGGGCTGGGAGCAAGGATTGCTGAAGGGAAAAGGGGAATCCTGGTGCATCAGGCTTACCCTGCTATGACAATGAAGAAGTCCAGGCGGTTCCACGTGTCCCCCAGGTAGCACTTCTTCCCAAAGATCCCCAGCGCGATCATCTTGACTATCATTTCCACAGCGAAGAAGGCAAAGATGAAGTCGTCGAAGCTCTGGAAAAAGAGAGGGGGAAATAAAAAGGGAAAAGCGCAAGCCCACGCTCGCTCCAGCATGAGGGATCACGGGCCCGAGCCGAGCACCGTGGCACCGGGCGCATTTGGCAGGACCAGGAGCGGATCCCGGTGCCTGGCTCCGCATGCCGGCGGCCGGGACGTACCTGGAGGATGCGGCAGCGCGGCGAGTCGCAGGCGATGTCCTCGCAGGGGTGGAACATGCCCAGCGTGACGCAGTTGAGGAGGATCACCAGCATGCTCACCCGCTCGAACCACGTGCGCCGCAGCTCCGTCAAGGAAGCCAAGAGTCCCCGGCAAAACACGAGTGCAAGTCCCCGGCCGGCCAAGGGGACAGCGCAGCAAGGCCCAAAATCCCCACTTCTTGCCCCAAGTTTCTCACCCTGCTACACTTTGTTCCCCCTGGTGACGTCTGTAGGTAGGGCGAACATGAAGAGACTCTATGAAATTGAAGTTGCACCGCCAAGGGCTGGTATGATGGATTAAAAATATTTAATTAAAAGAGGGATATAAACTTTTAGGGAAAAAAACCATTAATGCCATTTCCTGGCATTTTACAGAAAAGCACTTTAATGACATTATGGTTTCCTATTAGCCGTGCCGTAGCTTATCCCAGGGGCATCTCCCTCCAGCCAGGGATTGAACTCTGCGTTCCCAGCCCAAATTAAGACTGTCAAAACCATTAACCAAGTGCCCGAGAGGCTTAAGACGGAGCGAGGCCCCGCAGTGCCCAGGCCTGATCTAGTGGCTTGGAAGAACCAGAGGCTCTGGGTTCATTCGAGGGACCTTTCCCCAGGAATTCCAGTGAAATCCCCCAGGGCTCAGTCACTGGAAGCTGGCAATTCGCACCATTTAACCAGGAGCGGTGATTACGGCACAGGAAGAGAAATTCCCGCTGCCAGGTTGTGGTTAGGGCCTGGAATATTCCTCCCAAATATAGCCCTGCCGGGGCACACGCCAAGGCTCCCTGGGGTGCCGAGCACCCATGTGCAGAGCCCGCGAGGACCCACAAAGCCCTCGAGAAAGCGAGGAAGGGGAAAAACCGCCAAGCTGCGAGATCCCGGGTCAGCAACAGAGCGCGCGCGTCTGGCAACGGCTGCGTAAAATATTCCCCGCGGAAGCGAGAAGGCTCCGGAGCGGCCGACGAGACAGACGGGCAGATGGGCGCTCCCCCCAGCAGTGGCGCTGCGGGAGACGGGAGCGTCGCGGGATGCGGCGCTTCCTCCCGCCGGAGCCCCAGGGCACTCGGCACCGCGGGAATAGGATGCCGTGGAAGGGGGTCTTGCTTCATTCCTCGGCTGCCTGCTGGGATTCCAGAGGCTGGGGATGGATGGGGGTGGATGCGGCCGGGGATGGATGCTCCTCTGAGCATCACGGAGACGCAGAGCAGGAGCAAACCGGGAATATTAGACCTGCAGGCTTGATTGAAAAGCAAAATGGGACTTAGGCTGAAGAAGTCAGCCTAAAGTTTAAAGAAATCACCGAGGGAAAGCCAGGAGGGACAGTGGAGCTGCTGAGGCCCCCGCCGACAAAGCTCCTGCATCCTGTGGGATCCAAATCCCCCGACCGGGCTCATGGGAGCCAGGCTGGAGCCAAAGGCTTCCCCAGAGCAAGCTGGGCAAGGCGCTCATGAGCATCCGAGCAATTCCCAGCATCCCAGTGAGCATCCCGACAAGCTGGGCTGGAGGGAGCCCTGCCGGGTGGCTCTGCAGCCAGCCGGGACAGAGCACCCCCCAGGCACAGGGAAGGCTTTCCACCTTTTCCAGGGGTTTGCTCCCTTATCCCGTTTCCCTGGCCAGTGGCCGTGTGCAAGCGCCAGTGCCAAGCTGAGCTCGCAGCCGGGCTGCTGAGCTGGGAACTGCACAAAATTGTGCAAAAGCTGCACAAAAAGGGAACTCTGATGGCCGCGTTATCCAGCCACCCAGGAACCGAGCCCTCCTGAGCACCCGCGATGCAATGGCCCATCCCAGAAAGAAGGGATCCAAGAAGTGCCAGCGAGCTCCCTTCTCATCCCAGTGGGAACAAACCTCCCCAGGCAGGAAAACAGCCCAGGCAAGCAGAGAGCCATAGGGATGGATGGCGGGTATTTGCTGATGGCATTTTATTTTTCCTGGCTCCAACACGGTCCCGCTTCACAGCGCATTGCTCCTGTGGGCAGCGCTGCCACGGATCTAACCCCACACCTGATTAAAAATTGCTGCGTCTGGGCAGCCGGGACCCGGGCGCTGCTAAGAGCACTATGTTAATGCGCCGCCGAGAGATCTGCAGATTGGGGGTACTTTCTATTTTTTGACTTTTTTTAATCCCCCGGCAGAAGGGGACTTCAGGCTCGCTCCGCTGCTAATGGGATTTTGAGCGAGGCACAAAGTGCTGATGGCTCCGGCTTCACCGCCGCTGCCACGGCCGGGGGCTGACAAAGGGAAACTGCAATTAGCAGAAGCAGAAAGTGCCTTATTGAGATCTGCCTTGTGCTCCAGAGCCACCGACCCGCTTCAGCATCCCGGCATTGCCAGAGCATCCCCAACCCAGCATCCCAGCCAAGACGGGAGTCCATGGGTCACTAAACCAGAGGTCCAATTTTCCAGCACCGCTTATCCCTGGTTACTTCTAATAATCCACTTTTCCCCCCCCGCCATCAGCTTTGTCAAGACAGATAACCAAAACATTCACGGATGCTTTCCGTGCAGAAAAATCCCCATTTCAGCCACATGGAAATATCCACTTAGTCTTTGGATATAACCCGGCTATTCATTCTTCTCCTGCAACATTACAACACCAAAGGGAAATAGCCGGCCTGAAATCGCCCGCTAGAAAAAGTCTTTGCAGGGACATAGCACCGGGCAGAGCTGCGCTCTGAGTGGAGACACGTGGCTGATCCCGCTTGGATCCATCGGATCCCGTGCCAGCAGCACAGCCAGACCTCGGCTAATTAAGAGGCGAGTGCCCGCGATTCAATTACCCTGCACTCGGCAGCTTAATGCAATCGGGAGGGAAAGATATTGCATTACGCCACGTCCGATTCGCTTGCACAAGCAGGGCTCAAATTCAGGCGCAGCCAGGGCTTGCAAGGCCGGCGTTTTTATTTTATTTTATTTTGCGCAAATGCCGAGCAAAAATTGGGTTGAAATGACAGCCTTCCCCTGCAGTGTCACCGCGTCCCACCAGCTTAGGAGCGACACCAGGATAAGCTGCTGCTGTTAACGAGCGCGGAGTCGGAGGCTTCGCTCCTATCATCTGCTCCAGAAATAGCCCCTTGACAAGAGCACAAAGGGACTTCCAGGGCCCGGCCTTGCGGGGAAGAGGAGCGGCTAAAATCCTAAAACATTAATTCAGGCCGCGCACGAGGAAAGCTGAAAGTCCTTCTGCATTAATTGGCCTCACCGATGGAAACAACCAGCCCCGACGGTCCCGTCCCTCATGGGGAGAGCCTCGGCGCGGCTTGCCCAAACCCAGCATATTGAAGCAGATATTTTTTTGACCACGTGCCTTAAGAAGCTAACTTGGCTTTTATCTGCTGCTCCTCAAACCAAACTCAAAGTTTGTCTCCCAGAGCCATCAGCCCCCTTAGATGCTCCCTGAGAGCAGCCCCGATGAGGAAGGCCCGATTTAAGGCCTCTTCTCCCACCAATCCCTATGGAGAGCACCATAGGGCAGAACTTCAACCCAAACATATGTTTTTATCCCCCATCCCACTACAAGTCATCCCAAAGAACACCCATACATCACTGTGGGACACAGTCTGTGGGATGGCCAGCACCTAGAGACGCTTTACTGCAGCAGGGGGCATGTGAACAATCCAACTCAATAGTTGAATTATTCAGGAATAACATGGATATTATTCCATTATGTTATTATATTATCCCATATTTCAATTCCTGTGGATATTCAGGATACTATTGAGTTGGGAGCGCCATGGCTGGGCCATCCACGTTCCTTGGGGCACACAGGTAACACCAGGTTCCCTCCGCCCGCCACACCGAGACCCCCCCCCCGGCTTCCGACACGGGCACGGCACTGGGAAATGTCGCATATTTGTCTTATTTTGTTCCCTCTTTGTCCTTTTTTTAGTCTCTTTCTACTTTCCCCCCCTGCCGGAAGCGCGCCGGTCGCCACGGCAACGCCGGTGTTCCGGGCCCGGGCAGAGCCGCGGTGACGTCGGCCCCTCCGGCACCGCCGCACTTATGTAACGGGAACCGGGAGCTGGGGAAGGAGCCGGCACTGCGGCTGCCATCCCGGGATACGGCCGGGAGGGATGGCTACGCCGGGAACGCGTCCCAGGGCGCTCCGGGACCCGGAGGCTTCCCAGGCCTCCGAAGGTAGCGGCGCCCGCTCTTCCTCCTCCTCCTCCTCCCTGGAGGACGGACACGAGGCCCGTCCCAAGCGAGTCTTGGCCATGCCCCAAGAAGCGCCACTTGAGGACAACCCCGCAGGGCCCTGGGCCCTGCCGGCCCCGGCACCAAGCAGATCCCAGGCTATTAAAAACCCAGGAGTCGGGAGCAGGAAGGACTCGGAGCTGAGGAGACTCCAGCGCTCCCGGCTACAGGCCAAAAGCGGCCGCTGGCTAATTCCACAATTCCCTTGTGGCTGCAGCCTGCGGGAGGCACAGAGGCGATGGGATGTGGCAATGGAGCAAGGAGTGCAGGCCGAGGAGAAGATGCATCCATGAGGCTGGCCGTATGGAGCAGAGGGAATTCCTGCCTCCAAGCCAGAGAAATGCCGACTGGCCAAGGAGTTTGTGTCCATCAGGGACATAAACCTCTGTGTCCATGAGGGAGCAGGTCCCACCTTGCAGCTCGTTCCCACATCCCACTGTATTGCTCGGGTTGCTATGGGGGCAATGGAGGCTGCGGACACACAGACTGTGCAGGGAACTGAGTGGGATACTGAAGCCATTCCATATGCCGCACCTGGACAGACCTGTACTCATCCAAAGGGGACGTGCTGGGTACCAGCCCCATAGCTCATGGGACAGGTGTCCAAAGTCATCAGCAAGCCCTGCAGAAACGCAAGCAAGTTTGGGGGCTAATTCCAAACTATTGTGGAGCAGGGAGATGGTGCGGGGCAGATAGAGAGCAAACCCCTTCCACCCACCACTACATGGGTTCAGGATGCCCTGGAAGAGCCCAGCACCCAGCGACAACCCCCTCTACTCTTTCCCCTCCTGCTATTTTAACCATGGGAGGATAAAAGCTTGGAGCAAACACTGGGGCACCTCAAACTGCCCACAAATTTCTGGCTATGTTTTCTGAACTGGCTTCGATTAGG